ATATCACGTGCAACGCACGTGTATAGTACTGGTATATATATATATATATATATATAGGCGGTGTGCAACACAGTTTGACAACCGCCACGGACTTGCTATGTCCGTGGCGGTTCATTGGCAACAGATGACTCGCCAACGGTCAGCAGGCTTGTGTATCAGCCCCTTGTACGCTGATGGTTGCGATTAAAACGGAAAAAGATTAAAGGCGATCAATAAATGGGGCAGAAACATAAACAGTCGTTTCTCTCCCTACTCTTCCCACCTTCATCCCTTCCACTAACTCTCTATGAATTTAGACTTTCCTAGTATGAAGTTTTTGACAATAAAATACCCTTACAATTATAAAATGGACACGGTTTATATGAGTCTATATAGAAATGAGTCGCGTCTTAAAAATCAATTTTGGAGATGGATTGTTGGACCTAATTTTTAAGGATATACAATCTCTAATGGAGCTCATGACTATGGAAAAATAAATAAATTTTAAAAATTAAGAAAACATGTGGACCATTAATTTCAATTGTTTTTAGATCGACCGCCTCTTTGCATCCATCTTTAATATTGTACTTTATACCTGTGGACCACAAGTGCAGAAATGCGATACTCAATCCAGGAAACAATTTCCCTTATAAAAATTGCATTGACAAAAGCTTCTAGGGATTCTTGGGCCGTCCAAATGGGCAAAGAAATGAAGGTTTGTTTCTCGAATTTATAGATTTGTTGATGTCATTAATAACCGTTCAGCAAGTTTTGATTGCTTCTCATAAAAACTATCTAGGGTGTCAATTTAAATTTTTATTTATTTATTTATTTTATTTTGTGAATAGATATTTTCTCATGAGAACAATCCTGCCTTATCTCTTGTGAAACCTTGGGAAAACAACGGACGGAGCAAAAATGTGGAGCGTGGAACAATCATTGTAATTTGTAGGGCCACGGAATTGAGAAGGAAGCAGTGCAAAGTTTTAGATTTAATTATGGAAAAAGTTTATATAGAGCTGTGGCTCTAAACAATCAAATTCGAGCTTACCTAAAAAATTTTATTAGAAGCGGTTGTTTTGATGCTCAAATTGTTCATCTCGACATCAACATACGTAGATATGAGAAAAAATAGATTTCACGTTTTGAAAATGGTGTATTTTGTAATGCATTTTTGTACTGCCAATTTTCGAAATTTTCAAGTTTTCATAGTTATGTCGATTTACACTATTTTTTAAGCTTTAAACTTTATAAATAACATGAAAGTGTATTTTAAAGCTTTCATAAATTAAAACCATATTTTCGATACTATTTAAAGGTAGGCTCTAATTTGATTGTTTAGAGCCTAGGCTCTAGACAAACTGCATTCATTAAGTAGAATGGGATAATAGCACTACTAGCCGTACTTATTGGAAGTCAAAATCCAAGATTTCTCGTTTGGTCGCTTCAGCAACCGAGCTTTTCCAGCTTAATGGACTGTTTTTACAAATGAAAGCGGAAAAAAATCCGATTCCAGATTTTTGCTTTTCAAATTTTCTTTTTGCAAATACTTTGACCAACTAATTGCTCATGATCGGCAGCATATTCAAACCACTGTTTTTTGGACTCGCCCGAGTCCACATTTTTTGGATTCGGACTCCGCAGAGTTATGGGCCTCTACTATGGGTGAGGCCTAGTACTACCGATTTTATATATCCCCCTTCGAACCTCTGTTTTTTGACACGGCTGAGTTTTTGGGCTTCGGCCCCTCTTATAATCGTTAGTGATCGAATTGGCTTTTTGGCTATTATAAATTAAGGTCTAGATATGATACCCCAACTCCTCAAAGAGGCCCCATATTCTTTTCTTAGCATGCTACTTAAGCATTTGTGATAAGAATAAATACTTAATTATAACTACATATACCTTTTTTTTTTTGTTATTCTTTTTTTTTTTTTAACATGACATGAACTCGGCCGAGTTATTCGGGTTCGGGTGAATAACTCACCTCGACCAACGTCTAAGTACTTTGGCTGAGTCGAATTTTTGAAAACTGATTCGAACATTCTGAAAATAATTCATGTTGGTTTACACTACGTGAATGATTGAGCAAAATTTTGCTTGGTGTGCTCGGACATTTTTTCTTTTTCTTTTTCTTTTTTTTCTTCTTTTTTGTTTTCGTTTTTTGTCGTTTTTTGATGCTGGGACATGGCCGAGCCCATTGAGGTGCAATACTAAGGTAAGTTCCTAGTTAGTTAGGTGTACAACTCGCCAAGCCCAAATAACGCTAAAATTGTAAAAATAAAATTAAAATAAAAAAAAACACTAACCTAATGGTAAATATTTTTAAAATTTTGTTTGTTTTTAAGATCATTTGGGAACTTTCATTTTTTTTTAAAAAAATCAGAAATATTCAAGATATAAATCTATTTTTTCAGTAACCCATCTCTTATGGCTTTTTTTTTAATCTTATTTAGTCTCCTAATGATTCGGTTAATCATTAAACTTTTTATGATTTTTAAATATGTTGTAGAATTGTTTTTATCCTTAAGCTCTTTCTCAATCTTTTTGTGGTATACCTAACTTGGTCAAATCCACTCACAATCAGTCAAGTTACAAATACCTTAGCCGAGTTGGTTTTGATTAGGGATGAGAATGGGTCGGATCGGCGCTGGATCGGGACAGGATCTGACCAGATCCACATTTGGATCACAATGGTAAACATCGGAGCTGTGTTGGATCCGGATTGAAATCGAATCTTAGACATTCAGATCCGGATCTGAATCTGAATAGTATGTATTTGGGTCTAGGTTTTGGACCCGAACCCAACCCGTCCAAGAGTTGCACCCATACCCCCTACCAGTTGGGTCCCAGGTCTGGTCGGGTCCATTGCTGCCCTCACTATGAGCTTCCTTTTTTATAGCTTACAATAGTGAATAATAGAGAACTGATTTTTGAGGGGTGGGTGATTAGAGAGAGAGAGAGGGAGACACTCGAGATCCAGAGAGAGAGCTAGGTCTCCAACAAATTGAGAGAGGGAGAATTGCAGAGAGGGAGGATGGTAATGGGGTTTGGCCGTTAGTATTGAAACGATTATAAGGTTGGAGCTTTGGCTTTTGGGCAAACTAAAAATTCAGGTCCATATTTGCTATTGAAAAAATCTAGATCTAGATCCGGATCAAATCCACCTACACCCGGATCCTATCCATATTTCAATTCGGATCTAGATACGGATTTCATATCCAAAATTTAGATCTATAGCCCGATCCAAATTTCAGATCCAGATCGGAGCAATTCTCACCCCTAGTTTTGAGTCCACCAACATCATCAAGTCAACATTGGCTGCAGTTGGGCGCCCACCATTCATCCGAAATATCCCACTACTCAAAACTCAAAGCTGATATAATAAATACCACTTCCAAATCAAGAACAAACCACATTCCCTTAAAAAATGGCCAAACTTCTTCTCTCCACTCTCCTCCTAGCTCTCCTCCACCTCCTTCTCGGATCCCGATCCGATTCTTTAGGAGAATTTTGCAATTTCAAGAAGAAAATCTCAGACAAACCCACAATGATTAACATTGGCTTAGTCCTATCCAAACTAGAAACTAAAGCCCCATCTAATAGGTTTGCCACAGCCTCAGACGGCCAAGGCAAAGAGAGAGTGTATGGGCTCCTACAGTGCAGAGGTGACATTAGCCCCAAAGATTGTTCATCTTGCACAAGTGACGCAGCGAAACATGTCCGCCATCTCTGCCCTGATGAAGCTGATGCGAGAATATGGTTCGACAGTTGTTTCCTTCGTTACAACACCGATGATTTTATCGGAGAATTGGATACTAGGTATGGTATCTTCTATTGGAACGTAGAGAATGTAACTGAACCAGAGAGGTTTGCGAAGGAGCTCGGAGATTTGATGAACAATGTCAAGGCAAAGGCAGTGCAGCCTGGTAACAAGGGCTTTGGGAGTGGAAAGATTAAGTTCACACAATTTGTGACCATCTATGGGTTGGTACAGTGCACCCAAGACTTGCCTAAGCTCCAATGTGCACAGTGTTTGTCCACTGCTATTTCGAACTTCGGCGGCGGCGGCTACTGCGATGGGAAGAAGGGTTGCCGGGTGCTATATAGCAGTTGTTTCGTGCGGTTTGAGATATACCCCTTCTTCCTGCCGCTTAGTGCCTATACAGGAAATGAGGTCCATGCTTCCCAGGCTGTGTACGATAACTTAGGTAATTGACAATGTCTTTGAAACTCATAGAGTCCCCCTTAATAAAAGATGCAGGTCTATAATAAAACACGCATTTCAATAATAAAAGGGTGTATAAGGTTGCCGCCTTATAATGTAGAAGTATGACACACCTATAAAATTTACTTAGAGATGTCGTTTAGGTATCTAAAACCTTATGATGTTTGCAAAATCTCTTTTTATCCTTAGTTATATAATTTAAAATTTGAAAAATAGTACAGATCGAGCAGATCAAGAAACACTTGAAAATCCTGAAAATATAGGGTCCAAATAACAAGTTACAAGATGCACTAGTTTTTGGACTTGGAATTCTTTTTTTTCTTCATGTCCATTTATCTTAAGGTCGAGATGATCAGTTGGAGGGTTCTCCTATGCCATAACACTCTCTACTATAGGAAGTTTGAGGTGCACCTTACTCCAACAGTATAAGGTTGCAACCTTATATAAACTTTTTCCTAATAAAAGATGCATGTCGATAATAAAAAAATGCATTTCTATAGTAAAAGATGCATTTCTACAAGGATTTAATGTCTTTTCTCTATTGGCATGACTTTATAGTTGCTAGGATCTTCCAACCTAGATGAAATTCCTTTTCTAGAATCTGGCTTCAGGGTTCTGGAAAAGGGATTCTCGAAGTATTTTGTTTTTTAAAATTTGGGATCTCAGTCCCAGACTATTAGGGATCTCAATCTCTGAGACCATGCTAACCAGCAAACTAATAATTTTATTTATGTGTAGGCAGCTTGAAATACAACTATGCTTTTAATATAGTTGTAATTGCACGTGCACTAATTAAAGAGATCCCTTATGTATAATCCTAAGCTATATAT